CGCCCTTAAGACATGGCTCTTCCAACAAGCAGGACTGGCCTAAGGGGAAATTTTAGTGGGGTTTTAAAAGCAATTTTAAAAATTAATAAGGCCAAATTTAATATTTCATCTTAACTTTGTTTTAATGATAGTTTTTGGGGTATTTTTGTAGTTGTTTTTATCAGGCTGTCAGCCGCCCTGAGTCCGCAAGGAGAAGGGCAGGGTATAAATTCAAATAATAAATAAATAAATAAATAAAATAAATGATGGGGTGTAAGGGCAGAGTCTTGTCTACGCTGCCTGGCTGTCATGTCCTTGGCTGCACTGCTCCATGTGGGCCACCTCAAGGGCGACTCTCCAGGGGGACTGCTGGAGAGGAGGGGGTCGCGGGGGGAGGCAAGGCTGGGGCAACGGCACGTGTGCCCACAGAGAGGGCTCCGGGTGCCCGCCTCTGGCACCCGTGCCATAGGTTCGCCACCACTGTTAACAGTCGTTCTATTTTTATTTGCAGGTCTTTGTATTTTGTTATCTTCTCCATTTCCTTCTCTTCTATTCCACTGTCTCAAGGTCACTGCCCCTATCCAGAATTTTTTGTCTTTCTTATTGACAGGTGTTAAGTCTGGCATGTTATGTGGCAGATACCTGTCTGTTTGAATTCTAAAATTCCAAAGCATTTTATCTTCTTCATTTTCTTTTACTTTCTGTATTTTATGATCCCACCAGTTCTTGCTTGCAGGCAAGTGCTAAATTTTGCAGATCTTCCAATCCAGTGTTGTTGCTATTTTGTCATGCCATTGTTTGTAGTCTGTGAGATCTTCTTGCAGCAGCTAACCAAGGTGGTCCACTATTTCTTCAGTTTCTTTCCAGAAGAAATACTTGCTGCCTGTTGCTGTGTTCCCAGTTCTAGCTTTGTATGCATTTGTTCTTAAGGCTTGGTCTTGTGCAGGCAAAATTAGCCCCTGTGTCTCTTTCTTCAACTTTCCTGTTCTTAGCCATTGCCAGATCTTGTTATTATCTGCTTTACCTGTTTTTTTTTAATGTACTGGCCATGTAATACTTTCTTTTCCCATGCCACTTTTCAGTTTTTCATTTGGTCCTTCTTATAGGCCATTTTGGTCTCTCCAGTATCAGTAGGCCTTCCTGGTATATAACTATTATTATAAGCAGTAGTAGTAGTAGTACTGCTACTATGATTAAAAAGAGGCCCTTAAGCACAATCTAGTAGAATCTAACAAATCTCTAATATGATTACTTTTAAGATATAATGCAGCGTTCTGGTTATTCTGTCTCAAAAGCTGTAATACATAATTGTGAGAAGTACAGAATAAAAGTACACAAGTACTGAAAAGGTGGGATGAGAGGGGAGATAAATATAGTTAAAATTGCTGTGAGCAGTTGATTTGGAGGACAAAAGAAAATTGGTTTTTGGCTATGTACATGTTACTTAGTTTGGTAATGAAACGTTCAGAAATTATATTAAAACAAGCTTGGAGAACAAACCACGGCCAAAATCTAAAATCCAAGCTACAAGTATTTTCAATATCTTTTTGTTTCTCGTAGTACCTAATTGTTTTTACTTGTTTTTAAATTTCAGTGCTATTAATATTTCATGGATAAGGACAAGTATATTACAGATTATTATCTTTGATTCAGCATATATCTGAATTCTTGCAAGAGCAGAAGTACAATTGCTTTTGTGCCATACTTCCAAGAAAAATATAATTGACCATGATTAGGTTGGATTCATAATACTCTCAGGTTTCTCCACAAGTCTGCTGTTACATGTACTGTCAGATTATTATAAACATGGTAGTTCCTGGATTGGTTAAGATTTCTCCAACATTTTTTTTTTTAGGAAAATATTGAATGATTTGTCCTCAGATGCCCCAGGAGTGCCAAGAATTGAGGAAGAAAAATCTGAAGAAGAAGCAACAGCACCTGCTATTACTACTGTCACCGTGCCAACTCCAATTTATCAAACAAGCAGTGGGCAATACAGTACGTGATATCTCTTTCTTATACAATAGTAGGAAAGGAAAAGTATATACGATCTTAATTAAATCATAAAAATGCATCATTTATATTTTATTTCCCCTCTGAAATTATAATTATAATTTCCCCTCTGAAAAATGTTCAGAGCTCCATATTTGTACTTTCAGATTTCGAATTGTGTCACATCTGATAAAATATATGAAAACATACCAAAGGATTGTGGGAACCAAAGAGAAATGTTTGTGCAGTCATGCTGTTACTTAAGGATAAACCCAGTGATTGCTGGCAAAACAAAACATTTGTTATTAAACGAACCAATAGTATACAAATGTGGCATATCAACAAAGGAACAGGGCAAATGAAAATTAGTTAAGCATTGTTATGCAGGTGTTTTGTTTTGATTAAACATGTCTTAGGTAGTTAGCATGTCCTGTGCCTTCTAGTGCCCTTCTTAATGCTATGGATATAGTTCAGTCCCATTACTTTCCTAGCAGGTATTTCACTGCCCACTTCACTGTAAAGGATGGAATAATCTTCACCTGTTCACATACGATCTTGGCTTTAAGGACCAATTTACACCTTCAGTTGAAGTGAAAAGTTTCGCGGCAGTAAAATGTTGCATTTAATTCATATGGAGAATGATTATAATATATAATACTTGCTCAACAATAGCTACTGCATGAAAGCATGATTTGTGTTCTAGTTTGTCTCATGATGGAAGCATTGCCATGTGAAATCACCCTTACATGTTCAGTGATCAAGGCTGGGAGGGTGGATGAAGGACATAGAGTTTTATGATTATTATTTGCTCTGGTCCCCAGTGTGGTCCTGATTTTCTTTTAGGGACTGGTGTTGCTGATATCCATCATCAATATGACAATGCTGTGCATGCAGGTATTGTCTGCATGAATGGATTGGTGTATATGTGGTGGAGCTGAGGAACTGATACTGGCAGCATTGAATGAGGGACCATGTGTGAATGGTATTCTTATTGCAGTCTGAGTGATGTGTAGCAGACTGAGGAGCTTCATGAAAGTGGACACAGAAATAAGTACAGAAAAAAATTAAGAACAATAATTGTATGTGAAGTGCTAAAGAAACTAACACAGAGGCAACAGAGAAGAAAGCAACTGATGAAGGATGAAACTGGTAAAAAAAGATGTAAAAAGAACAAAATATAGAGGGGAAACCATTGTTTATTTTATTTATTAGTATCCTATCTTTATTTCTTTTACAAATGACTCAAGGCGGCGAAAATAACCAACACACCTTCCCCCTCCTATTTTTCCCACAACAATCCTCTGAGAGGGGTTTGGCTGAGAGAGAATAACTGGGCCAAGGTCACCCAGGTGACTTTCATGGCTAAGACGGGAATTGAACTCGCACTCTCCCACTTTCTAGCCTGGTGCCTTAACCACTAGACCATTGGAATGAACAGAGCTCCGTTATCAGAAACAAATTGCTAATTTTTATTACTTTATTAATTTTATTAATCAACAGCAAAAAATTATCACCAACAAATTTAACAAAGTACATATACTTTTCATTACCAAAAAATTAAGGAATCACACAATAAATGCATATTGTTATTAAATGCTAGTATCTGGATTGATTGATTGAATTAGAAAAATTGTAATCTTTAAAAAGTCACATCTTGCAAAATGAATATAATAAATTACACTTTCCTACATGGTGAACAAAATTCAATATCTCTTCAGAAGTAGATTAGTACACTCTTTTAATGATTTTTTTGGGGAGATACTTCAGCTGTTCTGCCATAACAGGTTTAAGAAAAATATGCCATTGACAAAATAGTTTCCAGCATTGCTTTGTGTAGTGATTTATCTATCACTTATCGAAATTGCTGTATCAGGAAAACGTCTGTGTTAATAGCTGTAATGAATAAAATATATTCAGAGTCATAACATCATCACAGGAAACAGCATAACATTAAATGTTTTAAACAACCTTATTTTCAGACTATTTACAATGTTCTTAATATCCGAATTGCTTACCTGCTTTTGCCTGTTTCCAGTTGCTATCACCCAGGGAGGTGCCATCCAGTTAGCAAACAATGGCACGGATGGAGTCCAGGGCCTGCAGACTCTAACTATGACCAATGCAGCTGCAACCCAGCCGGGTACCACCATTTTACAGTATGCACAGACTACTGATGGACAACAAATTCTGGTACCCAGCAACCAAGTAGTAGTACAAGGTAGGATAAGGACATTCTTAAATTATTTACTCAAGGTTGATGCTTTATTTATTCATTCTTTTTATTTGTGAAATTGTTAAAGTGCTAGTTATTAGAATAGGAGAGACCTTTCTTTCCTATTCTTCAAATAAAATCTGAGGATATGAGGAACAGAGTTGAAACAAGCAAGAGCTATAATCATACACATTTTTTCTGTCTGACAGAAATATGTAAACTTAAGGGAGAACAGAAATACAAACATAACATGCACTTATACGGAAATAAATTCACAAGCTATTGGAGGCCATTCCTGGTAAAGAGGTTAGAAAGAATTCCAGAGGCTATGCTCTGCATGCCTTTGCTGCCTTGTTTCTTATAATTTTCTGTCCCTTGTAAGTAGACAGTTGCAGGAATGGGACAGATAATTTCTACCACCAATTATACTGATATCTCACACAATAGGATTGGAAATTAGAAATGGTTTATGTGAAATTAGCCCAAGATTTCATTTGAGCTAGTTCACATTGCCTCCCTCTAAACCAGACATGTCAAACACAAGGCCCAGGGGCCGAATGTGGCCCGCGAAGTGGTTTCATGTGGCCCGCGAAGCCATCCTGGAAACAGTGAGGGAACGGCCCCCGCTGCCTTGGCCCTGGCCCAGATCGGCCAGGAGCCAATGTACAATTTTGTGGTGGCCATCTATGCTGAAATGCATTCAGTCTTAGCTCCACAAGGCTGTCTAGAAACAGCGAGGAACCAGCCCCTGCTGCGTTGGCCCCACCCCCTGGGTGCATGCTGGGGAGGTGTCACCCTTTGTGAGGAATGAAGAAATGGACCATGCCTTGGCGCTTGCCCTGGTCCCACCCCCTTCTGCCAGAGACTCTCAGTTCTGTCCCACTCCTGCCCAGGCCCCCACAGGCACCCTTGACGTGAACGATGTAGAGCTGGCCATGCCCATCCAGTAGACCACACCCACCCCATCCACGCCCACCTAGTAGGCTGCATCCACCCTGGCCACACCCACCCGTCCCCCCCCCCCAGGGCAACCGCAATGCTAATGCGGCCCTCAATGAAATTGAGTTTGACACCCTTGCTCTAAACTCTTAGCAAATAATCTCTTTAATCTTTTCTTTAAAGTTTTATTTCAGATTTTCCCCAAATTCTCTTCAGTTTTATTAGTAGCAACAGTTTTTGGAGCAACTATACTATCAGAACTATAGGTTATTATTGCAATTAGGAGATGTCAGCTTGAACCTCTAATTAAGAATGATCCTTAACTCCATTTGTTGAGAAATGTATAGTTTACTAGAAGTCAAGTGAACTACAGTAGTGCACAGCCAGAACTGAAGATTGTGCACCAAAATTCCCAAATCTAACTTTTCCCTCCCTTAGTTGCCTCCCATCACTGGTCCCCCCTGTTTAATCAAATTCAAACAAGATGTCACTTTCAGGCCTAGGTTTGGTATGCAGCTGCGTTCAGTTCCCAACTGCTTGACTTTGAAGCTACTCTCTGAAAGATACATTGAACTTTCGTTTCCCTTGAAGCACCCTCTCTGCCAACTAGCCCTGCCCCCTCCCCCCCAGAGTTCATGGCAGCTGATACTGAATGGTTGCAAGCGTGAGATGGCAGCTGACAGGAGATCCATCACGTAGTTTAAAGGAAGTTTAGGATACTGATCTTGGTAATTACATACATAAGGCAAATTGGAAGAAACTATGAAAAGTGGATGGATTAATCTTTGTTTCAATGCAAGAACTGCAGTGGAAAGATTATGCATTGCTAGCACGTGACTCCAGTTAGATTGGCCCATGTAAATCAAAATTATTCTTCCAAATATTAGACGGGTTCTCAAAAACAAACTTGATAAAGCTATACCTTTTTGATGTAAAAGTTTTGAGGAGATACTTAAAGAATTGAATGGCCCCCAGAATTAGGCTTCCTGCGTTTATTTACAGCACCATATCTCAAGCTTAAAAATAAGAATAATTAAAGTAGCTAAAATAATTAATTGCCCAATATTGGAAAACTCTAAATATATAATAATTGGGATATGAATTAACAAGGCCATTAATTGCCACATTAGAAAAAAAATAAAAATAAAATTAGATGCCTATCAGAAAATTAGGAAAAGGGGACAGAGGAGATGATGATGGTGATTATGATGATGATAATGATGATGATGGAAGGGACCTTGGAGATCTTCTAGTCTATCCCCCTGCTCAGGCAGGAAACCCTATACCATTTCAGACAAATAGCTGTCCATTTCTATCTGCGGAAATCAGAAAATGTGGAAAAAGATATTAATATAAGAAATAATCATAACAGAATTATAAAATGGATGAAAGATGATCAACTGGAACTGATTGAGTTGGCAGAGATGGTGAAATTAACTGTATGGCTTAGAGACAATATTATGGACATGTTTATAAGAGAATGGAAGTCATCCATGGAGTTTCTGCAAATTTAATGTAATAATGAAGATGTTAAGATAAGCTTATTTCTTTGGGCCTCTAGTTAACGGTTTTTTTTTAGAGTTAACAGATACGAGGTCAATCTGATTAAGAAGAGATTCGATTTCTATATTTGAGACATTATTTATTATTTTTGTTGTGTTTGTAATTTGGGCAGGGGTTGTCTTTCTGTTTTTGTTGTTTTTTAGTACCCTGTCTTTGAAATAAATATCATTTATTAAAAAGAAAAAACTTAAAAGAATGAGACATCTTCGGCAGGAACCACAATTTTATAAAATATGTATGGATCTTATGGTTTACCATTACAGCAGTAGACTATAATGTGATCATTTATATATATGGTAAATTGATACATTTATCGTATCTGTCTATTTATATCTTAGTAGACTTGTTTGTATTTTCTATTATCTTTTTCTCTCTATGCATCTGGGATTTATATTATTTCAATCACTTGATAATGCTTGTTAATCATAGTTAAATATTGTTTAACTTGTTAATCATAGCACAATATAAACTAATTCTATTATATGATTCCTGGAAAGCCCAGTAGTTTCCTTAGGTTGAGTTGAACATATTTGTTGAATTACAAAAGATATCTGAATCAATACCATATGAGAGACAGGA